TGGGCTCTGACTGCTCATCAATAGTAGTGCATTGTGACTTGTCAACAAATGCTTCAAGCTGATTTCCACTGCTGTGCAGTGTTTTTGAAGGACTGCGGAAATCATTGCCCCAGTTGGGACAGTAATTGCTGACATATACGATTTTGAGCTGTAATTGGCAGGGTTTTTGTGATGAAATGTCATCTTCGATCCGGGCTTGGGTTCACATGCTGTTAATCTTGCTGATGCTTGTTCTCTGCTGTTTCCTTGTTCCTGGCATGTTATGTTATGGATGTTGGCCTGGCAATAAGTCATTGCCCGGCTCTTGAATATGGCAGGAATATAATCTAATGTAGAACTTTGCTGTGTGGTGACCAACCGTCTCAGGCCCAGTGGGCACAACTGCTTTGCACTCGATGCTTTGTGTCCATAGTTTCTGAAGTTGTTCCACTTTAACTTCCGACAATGAAATAGAAAAAGAAAGAAATTGACGCAGACTTGTGCTCTGTGTTTGAACAGGCTCTCAGCTAGTGACACTAGCTTGCTGGGAGTGGTGTACACAAGTTTGAGCAGTAGTCGAAATTCCAGATTGTCATATATTGGATGTGAGCATCACAAAATTGTATGCAGTGCATCTAACAGTTTTGTACTTGTGTATATTTGGCAATGTGCTGGATGTCTCATTTGTTAAGATAGACTTGTGGGTTCCCAAAGTACCTGAAGGCACACATTTCCATGCTTCACTTCCCATGACTGGGACAAACACCCAGTATCTGGTATCTAGTTTAGTGCCAGGTTTCCATTGTTTGCATTGGAATTGAACATGCTTTTGGTCACTCTATGGTCTAATATAACCACCTAAGGATTGAATGACAACCACTGGCAGATTCGATGCCTGTGTGACGTCTTATGAGATGGTTATCAAGGAGAAGAATCACTTGCGGAAGTTTCATTGGCGGTACATTATAATCGACGAAGCCCACCGCATCAAGAATGAGAACTCTCTCCTCTCCAAGGTGTGCACAACTGCAGTTTCGTTGCATGTGTCCAAAGGCTGTCAAAATGCACCAACACTTATAAGTTGATGATAGGCAGCACATTGCAAATCTCTCAAGGCACAAACATCGTTCATGTGGTTGTTGATGCTGATCTTGGTTTATGGGATTGTTCTTGGTTCTTTGTGTTTTATGGTTTGGCACACACTGCAGTGTTGCCTACTAAATACTTCCCTGTGCTGTTCCCAACCAACATCGCATTCTATTCGATTCCATGACACTGGGTGCTGCTAGCACCCAAACACAAGCTCCTGATGATGGCTGCTGACCTAACACCATCTCAGGCAGTTGTTGGACTTCTGCAGCACTTCAGAGACACAAACAGGTGCCAACCTGCCATCACACTCCAGCCAATACCTTTGTCCCTATGGTTGTGCCTCAACCCTCCTCCGTTCTGTCAACCTCTCCCGACTCTGTCGATTTCTGAACAGTGTGTCCTCTTTTTGAAGGTGGTCCGGCTGCTGAGGACCAACTACAGGCTGCTGATCACGGGCACCCCACTGCAGAACAACTTGCACGAGCTGTGGGCGCTGCTGAACTTCCTGCTGCCCGAGGTGTTTGCTTCGGCTGAGCGCTTTGAGGAGTGGTTCAACATCGGCGAAGGGGGCCAGGAGAAGGAGGCAGAGGTGGTGCAGCAGCTGCACAAGGTGCTTCGGCCGTTCCTGCTGCGCAGGTCGGTTCGTGGGCAGTTCCAGTTTGTAGTATTCCTAATAGTGCACGACATTTGGTGGCAAAATGCCTGTTTCATGCGCTTGTGTGGAAAGCCATATACTAGAGCCATGTACAATTAAGTAGTGAACCAAGTCACCATCACCCTTGTCCTGCTGGAGTTGAAACTCAGTAATCTCAGCTGGATGTAAATTGCATATACAATTGCAAGGAGTTGAACAGTTGCTTTGCATCCCAAGAGAACGATAGGGGTCTGAGCACACTGAGATGAAGGGCTGCAAGATGAGAGGCACAACAATTCACAACAACAGCACTTCATGACTTCTGAGTGCCCTGTTGACAGTTCTAGTTTACATCAGAAAGGCACAGCATGAATACCAGCAGTTAGTTTGTTGCTGTTGTTCGTCAGATCACACAGAAGTTCCATATTTGTGTCTTTTGTTTCTTGTTCTGTTCCTGGTAATTTTGCTGTGCTCACAGCAAGTGCTACGCAGGGTGAAGTCAGACGTGGAGCGCGGCCTGCCACCCAAGAAGGAGGCCATCCTGAAGATCGGCATGTCCCAGATGCAGCGCAAGTGGTACGCCGCCCTGCTGCAGAAAGACATCGATGCCCTCAACGGTGGGGTTGACAGGTCAAGGCTGCTCAACATTGTGATGCAGTTGCGCAAGTGCTGCAACCACCCCTACCTCTTCAAGGTGACCTTTGGGCACGGCTAGGGAGCTTAGACCAGGGAAGTGGGTGGGGTTTGGGGCTATGAGAAGGTGCCACAGCATGCCCTTTTGTATTCAGTGCGATGAAGGGTGTAGCAATGGCAGGAGCTCAAACGTTTCACACAGCCCCTGCCCATGTTAGAACCACATAAAACATTGCTTTTGGCAGATTTTGTTTAGTTTGTGTAGATTCACTCTGTGGCATTTTACTTTTTTTTTCTGCTTACAGTCGTGGACTGATGGTACAAAATGTGTTAAATGGCAATAAAATTATGTAATCTTACTCTTGTTTTTGGTGCTGTTGTCACCGCAGTGAAAGCATAGAAATGCAGTGATCTAAGTAAGTACTGGGCACCTCAGTACTGTAACTATACCCACAGTACATTCATCCACAGTGCTTTCCAGGGTGCCTACTAATTGCTACCCACTCGGGCATATCACACAAAACAAACGGAACATGTGTGGTCAAGTGCTCAAGTTATTCTGCATTTTTGTTATGGCAAGGTTGGCAGGTGGTTGCAATTCTCACACCTCGATGGAAGCTTTGAGTGATAGCCTGACTGCAAGGTTCAACAGATTAGAGCATTGACTGCCTTGACACCTTGTTTGACCCTGATCAGCCAGTCAAAAGATTGGCTGGCAATTTGACCAACAGTGACAATAGCAGCTCTTCTGTTCAGAGGGGTTTGGCTCCTCTCCAATTTGGGGTCAGTGTAAGAAAGTGCTCAAACTAAAGTAGATGCTCTTTGCTTGCATTTGCATTGTGCTTTGCATATCCCAAGACTCCTGACAGTGAGCCTTTTGGTGAATATGGTACAGTAGGCTTGCACTGCCCCGCTGCCACCAGCGAGTATCATTGCTGAGATTATCCCCACCATCCCAACAACTGTGCAGGGACAATGCTCTTCACATGTTGGAAAATTGTAATTGAACTGATAGCTACAAACGAGGCGAACCTAGTAGGCTGCCTCATTGTGCCAACCTTCAATCCAATTCAATTCATCAATAGGGGATCGACTAACCCTGTCTACCACAGGGCGCTGAGCCTGGGCCCCCCTACACTACTGATGAGCACCTCATAGAGAACTCAGGCAAAATGGTCCTCCTTGACAAGCTGCTGCCCAAGCTCAAGGCTCGTGGCTCCCGCGTACTTGTCTTCTCCCAGATGACTCGCGTCCTTGACATCCTTGAAGACTACTGCCTGTTCCGTGGCCACGTGTACTGTCGGATAGATGGCAACACCAGTGGCGACGATCGGGAGGCAGCCATCGACGAGTTCAATCGGGAGGGCACCGACACATTCATCTTTCTGCTGTCGACACGAGCCGGGGGGCTGGGGATCAATCTGGCAACAGCAGACGTGGTGGTGCTGTATGACAGTGACTGGAACCCACAGATGGACCTGCAGGCGATGGACAGGGCACACAGAATCGGCCAGAAGAGGGAGGTGCAGGTTCTGAGGTTCTGCATAGAGAACTCCATCGAGGAGAAGGTGAGGGAGAAGCTGGGTGTCGCATGAAGCAGATGAGATGCACATGTGAGCACCACATTTGGCAGTGTTTTTTTCAGGTCATTGGCCTTTGCCAGCTGCTGTATCTACATAATGTTGGGAGAGAATTTTAGTGTTCATTTGTTATGGATGCGTTGGTGAACTGTGCATGGCTATGGGGGGCACTGAGATTCTGCTGTGGGAATTCCAGAGGAGATTATTTTTGTTGAGTCCTTGCAATGGGTTTTTCCTGTTTTGGGATTTCCTCGGTTGAGATCTTTCTATGGCCTAAAACGCTGTTTTCTGAAGTATACAGAAGCCCTTGATGATCCGTGCTTTGCATGCAAGTTGCATGCCGATCTGGCACCCATGTTTGCCCTGAATATGGTCGAATTGTTGGGAAAGGATATACAAGATAGTCCATTGGCTATTCAGGCATTCGTTTATTTGGTGACAGCCGATGGAGTGATATACATGTCTGTGGTTAGGTTTGATTTGAGTTCAAATTCCATTTAGAATACATTCTCATTGGCTCAGGTGATAGAGAAGGCATACAAGAAACTGCGGTTGGATGCATTGGTTATCCAACAGGGTCGCCTCACGGAAACCAACAAGAACAAGGTGAGGAGAAGCAATTACATGATGGCGAGAGAGGCTTGAAAGCAAACGATGTTTCCTGTTTCCCGCTGAAGTGTGGCAAGACATAATCTCCATCCTATCCTGATCCCTATCCCTAATGTCCTGGCTGTACTCAAGCTCGCAGCATGGTTCTGACTGATGGTACTGTGAAAGTGCTGGCATTGATGGCCAGGGTTAGCGCTGTACACCATGCGTGGTGCACACAACTCGAAACCTCCACCCATTGTTGCAGGATTCTCTGTCCCCATTGCGCTTGACTTTTATGCACAGCAACCCTGACCTCACCTTAACACGCAGTGCGAATTTCGCCTTACCTCATACATTCAAAGGAGCACCGGCCACTGCCACAGCCAGCCGCTCAAGCTCCTGTGCCATTGGCTTCTCACGGCAGTCCATGTCCGCTTGTGTCCCTATGCCATGTTCCCATGCCGTTCTCTCAACCCAGCGCACGCTCCCATCGTTCCATCTGGCTATGGTCCATTCAGGAGCCAATTACAGCAAGACACTGATCATCAACGGGCATGCATTCGCATCCATTTGCTGGTGCTGTTGAGCATCTGTTGCCGATCGCCGTTGTCTGTGTGTGTGCATGCACTACCCTCCGGACTGCCAGCGAATGGTATGCACTGTTTGCTGTCCATCGGTTGCAGGCATCACAGTGAGCTTGTGTGGGTGTTTTGTGTACACAGTGATGGCTGTTATGGCCTTTTTGTACCTTGCTTTGATTTTAATCCCATCACCACAGTTTATTCAAACCTTCCCATAACCACAGCGACTTGTGCATCTGTGCCCGCTGAGATGCCACAAGCATTGCAGGGAACCTCGCATTGCAGCTGGGGATGCTCCACATTTTCTTGGCATTGTTACTTTTTTATTATTGGTCTGCACAAAAGGCTAATAGTTACGTTGCAATGTGGAATGGTATAAATGCTACGGTATGCAAGCCCTTAGCATCCGCAGTTTCGATGCGCTCCCTCCCTAGCACGTATCAAGCGCCTGGGCATACTAGAATCGAGACAATGTCTTCACTAAGGTATACACAAGTATAATCAGAGAACTGTTCATTGTTTCAGAATAGTTCCTGGTCAAAGGAATGAAGATTAATGTTGACAGCTGACAAATGATTGTTGCAGTGCTGGCAATAGAATGCGATGGCGCCAATTTGTTGGCAAATGATAGGCTGTGCTCTCTTTGCAGTGAGTGTGCAGACTCAGCGCATTTCCGGGCAAGTTTATAGCTGTTGTTGCTGCTTGCAGTCACTGTAGCCAATATCTCTTGAGTCAGCTTTTCTATTTTGATTGTGTTAAAATCATAATCAACTTTCGTAGATAGTCAACAAATGTTGTTCGTTAATATTAATTGAGTGCTTAGTCTTGTGCCAATTTCCCCAATGAGGTGTGACTTGCACTTATGGAGGAAATGAACGAACCTGTATTTTCAGTATATTACTGGGAAGGTAGCAAACAACTGCAGGCTGCGATGCCTGCCACATCACCCGCAGTTCACATTGGATTGGTTTTGTTATGTGCCACTGCTGGCCATGCTGTGGCGCGTACCACACCACCCTCAAACCAGTGGCTTGCCTGTAGGTCAGCAAAGAGGACCTGCTGTCCATGGTTCGCTATGGTGCTGAGCTCGTCTTCAAGTCTGAGGCAGGCAGCATCACCGATGCAGACATCGATGCGATCATCGCAAAGGGCGAGCGGGACACCAAGGAGCTGAACGAAAAGATGTCAGAGTTCTCTGAGAATGCCATGAAGTTCACCCTGGATGGCGGGCTGTCCGCATATGACTACATAGGTGAGGAGGAGGCTGAGAACAATGTGGAGCTGGACCTCAAGCAGCTGATCGGCAGGAATTGGATCGACCCCCCCAAACGGGACCGCAAGCGGGTGATGAACTACTCAGAGAGCGAGTACTACAAGCAGGTAGGAATGGGAAATCGTTTTCGTTCCTGAGTGCATGTTGTTGGTTGTCTTACTTAGATAGAGGGGTGGGCATTTATCATTTGTTTTTGGATGCAGGCATGGGTGGGCAGCGTTTGCGATGCTGTATGGCTGTGAATGTGGCCATCATCGCCTTGAGGTTGCAAGGGCAGTGGTTGCCAAACACTGATGTTAGTTTCCATTACATTAATATATTGATGTGTTCAATATTCTATGTAGATGATGGTTTAACACAATCAGAGGAATCAGGATGAGAGAATATTGAGAACATGGGTCAAAGAATATTGGCTTTAGGCTATAGAAAGGCGATAAAGAGATTTGCTTTGATCGCAATTGCAGAACGAGGACTTGTGGTGCATGCAGGCCATGATGAAGAGCAAGCCTGAGAGGGCCAGTGGCCCGCGGTTGCCAAAGCTACCCAACCTGCAGGACTTTCAGTTCTTTGACGTGGCGAGGCTGACAGAGCTGTTTGAGCAAGAGAATGCCTATGAGGTGTTCAAGTACAGGCAGAAGCAGAAAGAGGAGCAGGCCAGAGGGCAAGGGGCCACAGAGGAGGCAGTGCAGGTGCGTTCGTTTATCCCCTTTCAACTGCAGTCAATAGTTGTCACTACATTTAGAGAGAACATCCGCAAGAGTTCTGCTGTGATTTGCTATGAGATTGGTCATTTCAAGCTCTGCTTGCTTTTTCTGTATTAACTGTTGAAGTGTGACTGTGTTTTGTATGGTCAGTCCCAATGCACCACATCACATTTGCTGTTCTGTATTGGGCTTTGTTGTCTTGTTCGTTGGGTTACCTTTGAGTGTTCATGTACCATGCTGTTCTATTGCAAGAGCTGCAGGTTCTTGCCACCTGCTGTATTTCTCCAATCTTTGCATCCTGTCAAAGCCTTGATGCAACACCACAACCCTGTGTCAAAAATGAAGTCTGTTGCTGTTTCTCACATCCAGTAGTAGCTTCTGAGATGACAAGCAGCATATAGGTGCAGCAATAAAAATCTCTGTAATGTTGCTTCTGGCAAAGGAAGTAATGTAAAATATGAATGACAGTGTATATGTGGATAGTCGTTGGATGTTCCAAGGCATCTGCATCATTGTCACTAATCCCCCGGGACATCCACAATGGATGGCAGCTGTAGGGTGTGCACAGTTGCCATGTGGGATGTGGGGCCATCAATAACAAGCTGTAAATGACAGTAACAAATCCAAGAGGCAAGTACTGAAATGTGATGAAACAGGTTTGCTAAACCACCACAAGGCTGATGTTTAAATGGACATAAAGCGCAAGTTGGCAACGTGCTGAAGTATTGGAAGCTGTTTGCTGAGGTGTACAGTAGTGAACGGGGGATGATGCCCCCTTGCGTTGAGCTTTTCCATTGGTATCCATAATGCAGGGGTCGTTATCCAGAGTACCCCTGCGTTATCTAGCGTTCTTCCCGTGTTACGCAGCACCTGAGACGCAGCGCCCCCCATCCAAGCAATTCGTGGGGCGCCACTCACTCTCCCCACCGCGTGCGCTGCCGCCCAACAGCACATTGTGCACATTGGGCCATCCATGCCATAAGATGTTGGTTCTCTTGCTGATCTGTTGGATGGCTCGGACTATGATTCTAGCAGTGTGAAGTTCGATTAAGATGACTTTAGGAATATGGTCCAAGATTAGGAACACTGGACTTCGAAGGAATCGATGGGTGTAAACTGAGTGAAGAGTATACACTCAGAATCTATTTCCTGCACTGTTGCTGGCTCGGACAAGGATCATTGAAGTGTATAAGAACTTTTGCCACCCTAACATGGTGATGCTGTGCTCAACATGTGTTTGTAGTGGACTATGTGTGTGGTATTATGGTATTGTTGCAACCACATTTCGTGATTGTGTGGCATGTGGGTTACTGATTGATGCAACTACATGTGATCTGCCTTTGCGCTGGCTTTTAATGTCCCCATCTTGTATTTCGCTGGATTGGCTGTGCCTTCTGTGCTTTTGGGTCCCTCACATCAGCTCTAGTGGCCCCCCCCCGATCCAAAGTTCCTCCGGCGTGAAGCAACGACATGCGTGATCGATAACGCTGGGGCGCACTACCCTAGCGGATGAACCCACCCACTTACCCACCAGCATTATCTAGAGCATGTGCGTTATCCCCGTTCTTTATGGTACCTCTTTCAGCAGCTTGACTTGGGTCTGGCTTGTACTTAACGTTGGAGATCTTACGAAATTCAGGTAAACAACTAGGACATCAGGGAAAGAGATAGCATTGAATGGATGTCAGCTATGATGTGCAGGCCCTGTTGAAGCCCGAACCCTATGAACCCCAGCCCCTGTCTAAGGAGGAAATTGAGGAGAAGGACAGGCTACTGGAGTCAGGTTTCACAAACTGGAATCGCCGCGATTTCAACGCCTTTGTCCGGTCCTGCGAAAAATATGGGCGGAATGACATTGAGAACGTGGCAAAGGAAATCGAGGGCAAGACTCTGGAAGAGGTGGGAGGCATGCAAAGATTTTTTTGGAGCCAGGTGGATGCATTGCAGCTGTGACAATGCTCTTACAAGACAGGCATCCATGAAGAAGTGCATCATGCCAAATGGCAGTTCTAAGTTCATTCCTTTAAACTGGCGACTGCAAGAGTAAGAAGAAAGGGGGGTAGGGGGGGGTGGGGGCAGGGTTGTCTTACAGGCGATGACAGGCATGTATACATGCAAGTCTTGTCCATCGTTCAGATTCTTCTGCCACTGGCACTGCCTGTTCAAGAGTGTTTCCAGAACTTGAAGATCTGGCCGTTATAGGTATATCTCCCTCCTCCACGCCCATCGTGTCATGAGCCATATCCCCATCGTCTGTTCAAGGGGCAAATGCAGATTCCCAGGTGAATTGAGATCTGTGGCCTCCCAACAGGTGAAGGAGTATTCAGAAGTGTTTTGGAGGAGGGTAAAGGAGCTGAATGAGTGGGAGCGGATTGTGAAGAACATAGAGCGTGGAGAGCAGAAGATAAGGAGGCAGGCTGACATCATGAAGGCGCTGGCTGCCAAACTGGACAGGTGCATGCGGGCCCCTGGATGTCTATCAGCACATCACCGAACCATTCAATCAAACTATGTTCCATTGGCATGATGCATAACTATCATCGTTCATGGCACCTGCAGTGCTGTGAATGCAGTGAGCCTCACCTGCTGCAGAGAGTGCTCCTGGTTTAAATTCTCACTGCAAATATTCTCTTCTGAATGGAAGGTAGAACATGCCATGTGGTGGTGAACCCCACTGTGAGCAAGAAAGTATGTGGGAGTCCATGCTATGCGCCCCCCAGGGTTAGCAATACTCAAAAATGTGCCCCAGAGTGATCTTCTCTGTGTGGGCCTCTTCGAGGGGCAGAATGTGAGCTGTGAGTATTTGGACAAGTGAACAGACACTCCTCACACGCTGATTGCCATGCAAGGAGCAATGTGAAAGTTGGCCAACAGTCTACAGATTTTACTCATCTGTGTATCAAACGGAACAGTGTATTACCCATGCCTATCCAAAACCTTGGCCCTTGGATGGGGGGTGAACCTGAACTGTTACGTGCGATGCACTACCCACAAAGTAATATTCTGTGTTGGATACAAAACAACACACAGTTCCACGTTTGTTGATCCAGGTATAAGAACCCATGGCTGGAGCTCAAAATCCAGTATGGCGCCAACAAGGGCAAAGCCTATACGGAGGAGGAGGACCGATTCATCGTGTGCATGATCAACCAGCTGGGCTATGGAGCATGGGATGAGCTCAAGTCTGAGCTGCGCAAGAACTGGCGCTTCCGGTGAGACTGGGCTTAGCTGCACTTCGATTGTCTTTGCAGAAAATGCCACTTTCCCTGCTTTCCACGTAGTCTTTGCAAACTGTTGCTTCGTCTCTCCTTTGCCGCTGCCGATGCCCATCACTGAACGATGTTGGAGCCCCCCCTCAGCTTTTTTCGCTGCATCTCAGGTTTGACTGGTTTTTCAAGAGCCGAACGCCACAGGAGCTGGCACGGCGCTGTGACACGCTCATACGTCTCATTGAGCGCGAGAACGAGGAGCTGGAGGCGGCGGAACGGGAGGAGAGGAAGAAAGCGAGCAGCAAGCGGGGGGGAAGCTCCAGGGGTGGCAGCGACAGCATGGGCAGTTCCAAGAAGCGAAGAGTGCAGGGCAGCATGGGAGGGTCTGCAAAGAAACCAAAATAAACCGCAATGGAAAAACCCCAAGTGAATTGTGCAGTCAGGTGGGGTGTAGTGCAGGAAATGCAGAGAAGTGCAGTGAAGCACAAATGGAGCAGAATACAATGTAGTTAGACGCTGTTTGAATATCGTGGAGCCAGGATGGACGCGCAGCGGTTTGTGCTTTGGAGAGGGCGCTGGCCCTTCTCGGACATGTGCATCGCAAAGCAGAGGGCTGGACAAGCTGTGTTACTGCTTGTGTTGGTAAGAACTGTGTGTGAGTACATTATCCTGAAGGGTTGCTGTGAAACGATGGGCATCTGCAGTCCCCCTTGGCCGGTCTGGGCAGGCGCAGCTAGGAGTGGCCTTAGAGTGGCTTGGAGTGACTGATCCGGGGAAAATGGTGTAGGGACGGTGGGTGTCCTTGTGGGTGTCCCTGCGGACGGAAAGTTGATATCTCTTGTCATAGTGTGGAGGCTTGATTTGGAGGTGTCCAAACGGATTGGGAATGTGGAGCGGGGTGGAGCTTGGAGGTTATCCGCATCCCAACGAAGTGAATGCTGTCAAACGCGTCCGTGCTGGTCCATCTCCCACTGGGCGCAAGTGCGCGGGACTTTTGGTGGATTGCTGACATTCTTTCGTCCCTGTCTGCATTTCTAGAAGACTGCGCCAGACCGTGACGTTCCCGAGCGAGAGTTTCTTCGCCATGGTGGTGAGGATGACTGCTAGTCTCTGTGTGCTGTGGGCATGCAGCCAAGGTCGCCCGCGGAGCAGCGGACATCAGATATGGACAGCCAGGTTGAACAAGGCTTCCACCGTTCTTGTTTCTTTTTCCGGTTTCTTTCTCTAGCTTCGTGTCTTCCTTCCCTCATTTCCCCGCTTCGGCCTTTTCTTCTTTCGCTTGGGTGGATTGCGTGCCTCTCAGTTGTACAGTTGGAGTTGAACGCCTGAGGTTGAGCGCAGAGGTGTTGTTGTCTTACTGGCAGTCGGGCAGTTTTGGCGGGAAGAGGGGCAAAGGCTCCATTTTGATTCGCGGGTCCGCTGGCATTGGACGCTCGGCTTCTGAGGGATGCGGCGCCCCGTCGCATTTTCAATTGTGAATTTCGTTTATTTTATGTGGGGCAGCTGACACGGGGTGTAAAGTACATGGAAACGCTGAGGTGCTCCTCTCCGTGGCGAGCATGGCGTGTTTCTGACGAGGCGGCCGATATCTGAGCATATGAGCATCTAAGCATGTGGCCATGCCACAAGCTGGTGGAAGGATTGAAGACACGCACATTGTGACAAGCATCGCAGTATAGTTTGCGCCCAAATGCGCATGTCTTATAAGGTCCCATGTCGATTCTTGTCTGATGGCTTTGCCTTGCTGCTGATATTTCAGGAGAGCCCTTCGCTTTCATGGCTGCTTGCATTATTTTGTCATTCTGTGGATGGCATCACCGCATTTGAAGTATCCAATGCCACACGAGGCAACCTTAAAATCATATGTAGCTTAAACTAAAACACAGCTAGTATGCTCTCAACACAGTGTGCTTTAGGAAACATTTTCGCTGGCCATTGTGGAATCTGCACCGGATCTGAATGACAGCAGAGGGACAGCATTCAGATATTCTTCGCAAGGCGCTTACCGCTTTCTTTATTTTGTGATGTTCTGAATGCAAAACCACCTATTGTTGAAGATCAGTTTTGCCCTGAGGGTATCTAGCAGTAGGAGGACATTGTTAATATCAACGCCGGAAGTTGTAGGAATTCCTAACCAATTTACAGAAACAGCGAAGAAAGGACCTGCACATTGTACAGAAAGGACAGATCGCTCCCAGGCAGCCCATCACTTTTGAAGCCCGCAATTCCCTTTTTCGTCGCACAACAAACCAGCAGTCACTGGCCTTGCGCCAACAGCTCCAACCCCTGTGCTCCCTTTTGGCTGTGATCTCAGATGTGCCCACCTGGTGTATCAGTCCAGTGTGTTTCTCTCGCTCTCCCTCCGTGACTACCCTGCGACTGCTTCCACGCACGATTCTTCGTCCTGACCACCTTTCCGTATTTGCAGCAACTGACTGATTGGTTGCACCGCGGAGGCGATGCATATTCCTCAGGGGCCCACAAACGGCTGGGCTGCGCAGATGCCGTTAAAAACTTGGGTCCCGACACCTGGTTTGCGCCACCCGAACGCCCCGAAATGTGTAAATATTTTATGTGCAAATACATATAATGTGTAAATACACATTTCCCCGAATGTGGAACGGAACTGCACCGCATGACGCACTTCGGCGGCATGATCCGCGCCAATTGAACAATCACGAATGCGAGAAAAAAACTGTCCGACACAGCCAGTCCACTGCCAGCGCCCGCCGGGGCTGACTAGTTTTCTGACCAATCAGGCCGTCATGGACCGCAGGAACTCGCTGGCCACCGCCCTGCCCCGCGTGTTGACGGCCAGCTTCAGCCTGCTTATCTCGGCGTCCATGTCGGCCACCAGGCCGCATATGAACTCCTGCAGGCCCCGCCTGCTCATGCGCAGGCAGTGCGCGTCGGTAATGAGGAAGCTGATGTCGTAGTCCTCCACTGGCACGCGCCTCAGGATCTCGAAGCTCTCGGCGCGCTGCATGAGGAAGCGCATGTACATGCGCACCAGGATCTGCTCCAGGGCGTCTGACTGCTTGATCTGGCAAGGACGCGTCCGCGTGTTGAGGGTGGCTCACTGGACAATGCGGCCGGAAAACATGCACTGCCATGTGGTCCTGCTAATTGAAAAGGCTGAATGCGGCATGTACCCGCTGATAGCAGGCAGTGCGCTTCTAAATTGACGTGTTATTGAAACAAAATGGACAAGGAACGAAAAAGGCGGAAGTGAACATTTTTGAACGATTTTCGTTGATCATCTTGTACTATTGAAATGCCAGAGTCGCCCGTCGCGTTGCATCGGGGAAGCAATGCTTCTGTTTGGAACCATGCTCAGAAAAGTTTCAAAACGAGTTTGGCGTACACCGCGATGATGGAGAGTCGGGGTGCGCAAGGCACCACTGCTCCTCGGATCAACGGCTGCATAATTCCTTTGTTTAGGCATCGAATTGCGCCTTTCAAACAACAACGGTACAACGAAGCACTAGCAAGCAGTAACCCGCGAAAAAGGCCCTCTGATTTCAGCTGCAAACCCAACCAGCACTGTCCGCAATTTCGCCCAATTTAGGCAGTTTGCATTTGTGTTCATATCTTAAATAATCGCGGATTGCTTTAAATGTGTTGAAATGGGTCCAAATAGCGTTATCTTACCAGTGGTTTGTGCACCATTCCTCAGCAATGGTGGTCAGCACGGTCTTCCAGGAAGGACTGCATTCACCTCATTGATTTACAGCGAGACCCAGAGCTGGCGTGGGCGTGTGGAGAGGCATATTTTCATGTTGGCAAAAGACTTCGTCGGCGCAGAATTCGCCCCGCGATGCTGCGCTGTTGCTGTTCAACGGTCCTGGAGTCTGAGATTTAGAGATGCTGCATCGCCAGGATTGAGGCAATCTAATACTGATTTTCCTTGTATAAGGGGATGGGGCATCGCAAGACGTCAGCGGCACGAAAAACAATCGTGGCTGAGGCAGGGTAATACACAATGGATGCGGATGTGTGATGGGTTTTGGATGTGTCCATTTGTTTAGCCGATACATGGTAGTCGATTAGCCAAATCAGTACTTTCTCTCAGAGAAGCCTATCCACTATTATGGGGATTTCACTCATCCTCTCCAGTAAAGATTATTGTACCATGGTAAATTATAGTTGCATACTAAACTGGTGTGGTGAACCAAGTTAACATTAGCTTGAGGAAAGGATTCCAACGATGCCTACTGCATTTTTCAGAGCGAATGCGAGCGACTGCAACATCGGAGTTCATGTTTCCACAAGGAGTCCATTCCGGTCAGCACAAGACGTCACTCCGGCGCTGCCTCCTCACATAAATTGACGAGACATCGGTAAAATGTCCCGACGTTTCCCCTGGACAAAACCGCATCTCGTCCATTGCACACGGTCCGAAGGACAGCCGCCAACGGTGTCAACCGGGACCAATTCCCGACGTCGCTTCGCCCATCGCCAACATTCCTCCGCGACAGAAACCAGCCCCCCCCCCCCCCCTCTTTCCCTTCCCAATTTCAGATTCTCCCCGCCATTTTAGGGATCCCGCCCCACCCCAAGCTTGTACATCGCCCCGGCTACCTTGACGCTGACCCTCACGGAGTTTATGGCGCCCTCGATGAGCACCCTCGCGCCGTCGCTGCGCGCCACCGTCACGGGCTCCAGCAGCAGCTCCCCGCTGCTCTGGTACTCCACCTCAGGCTTGTTGTGGCGCTCGACGTCCTGGCAGGGGAATCCCCGCACGCACAGCGCAGGGCCCAGGGCCTCCCGCAGGGCGTCGATGTACTGGCGGTGGGACAGCGCCATGGGCCGAGCGACACGGTGGAGGACGGGGCGCAACGCTGGGCAGAGGCGGTTGGGCATGTATGGATCGCGAACCGCGGGCGCGTTTAATTTATATAACGTCAATTATTGGGGGCCTAATTAATTAAACGTGCAATATTGCAGAGAGGCGCCAGCTCGGCACAGCCCCGCATTGGGGCAGCATTTTGCGCATATGTACACGCACAATATTCCGTGAGAATATAGGTGTTCCGTGCGGGAATATCAATTCGTGTGGACTATGTCATCCCATTATTGCCGAAGGCATTTTCGTTGTCGCACCACCGTGCTTCCCAGTGACGACTAGCTTGTTTCCTTGACCTGCAGTTCGTCTAGGCGCAATGCAGAAAGATTAGGAAAATTTGGGTGGCGATCATTGGGCAACGCCGAGGAGTAAGGCGCTTCAAAACGGAAGCTACACTACAATCTGCCATAGTATCATGGTTTGGCACTTTGTGAACTACTGGGGCAAAGCAGTGCACGAACAAATTTGATGCTGCCTCCGGGCGGGAGCAGGCGACAAGGCTTCTTCCCATGTACTGTCATCGAAAAGCACTTCTCCAAAATTAGGAATTGATGGATTCTCGACTAGCTTGTGCTGTACATTAGATGAGTAAGTCTGGGTTACTACTTTGCTCGGGAGAAATGGGAGGCGGACGGACACATCTTTGTTATGAAGTTTCCATCATGATGAATAATGGTTGGGATACCCGGGATACCACTCTTGCGTTTTACGTTTGCGTTGACACTTTGCTCGTAAAAGCGCTTCTGCCCACTCCCCCAAGTCTGTATTTACTGGGTTTGCTGAGACAGCACATGGTGACTTTGGGCCAACAGGCGAACTTCTCCAAAAGTTCAATAGCCTTCCCGTCTTCGTGCTTTGTGACAACATGGATTGGAACACAGCTGTTTTATTGCTGCTGTTGCACCAGTGGCGCCAACGCAGTAGCGCTCTTTGTTTGCCCAGTGTGTGCAGACTGGCAAAACGTTTTAGGGAGCCATCGGCAAAACGCTTTACTTCTTTTCCCTACCTTTACTAGCTTTGTTACGATTGTTCATAAACTGTTTATAGATAAGTTAGCACAACTTTTGATGACACATATTTTAATTAAATGTGTAGCAAATTTGTTACAAATAAATGTGTTAGCACTTGTGCTGGTGTAGTATGTCCTGTCTTTGCCATTTACTGTGGCAACACATGTAGATAGCTCGGAAACAGTGGAGCCCCTGTGTGACAACCATGTTGTCAGAGAATATAGCAGGCTATCGGGAAAGCCAATCCAAGCTTAGTTTTACGGTGTAACACAAGGTGTATTTACGATTATTTGGATGTAAAAATACATAAATACAGGTCCTGTGTTCATTAGGACAGTATATCCAGATTCGTCGAGTCCGAAAGTTGGCAGCCAGAGGCTCTGGAGTGGGCAGAAAGCCAACCTTTTGTTCGACGACGCCGTTGCCTTTACCGAGGGCAAGGTGGACGCTGTGTTGCCGGTGCTCGATGTCTGCGACTTCACCATGTAACCTGAATGTCTCAAAGAGCCGTAAAACTACGTAGATGCAGCCGTCGAAAACCGTTTCTATGTGGAGCGTTTTTATGTGCAGAAACGTGAACGTAAGAGTGGTGCCACAAACGCAAAGACCAAGCCAGCGCCGCACTTGTGGATTCGGCGTTTTCCTGGCCAGCGTCCGACTTCTTCTGAAGATGCGGGGCCACTGCTTCGCCATGTGCTCCGAGAAACATAACAATAGTGGGTTAGTTCGCGCACAGCCCAAGCCCAAGCACGAATGAGATCTGGCTGTATGCCGGTGGACCAAAAGCTACTCGCCGGCAACGGTGCAACTCCCAACGCAAGTCGGTTCTGCAAAATGCACGCCTGACCAAGCGCTCACCTGTCCCACTCCACAGAACAAAACACCTGCTGTCGCTGAATATCTCAAATAACTCAATTGATTACAAACAACTCGACTGGTTAAAGGAGCGCAAGCATCATCATCATCATCATCTTTTACAGTACAAGGCAATGAGGTAGCAATGAGGAGCGCAAGTACACCGTTATCTCCCCCAAGACGGTCAAAGTATCCAACGGAAACCCTACAACCGTCCCTAGGCGGGTACCCGGCGGGAACCTGCAGCGGTGCCAGGCTGTAGCTGACGCCCCGCACTTATTCCCCCCCCCCGCATCTGGCCCCCGCCTTTCCCTTGATACGCACGCAGCCGCCCCATCGCCCCCCCACCGCCCGAGACGCGCCAAGCGCTCCCACAACACAGGTACTGCGCTTTCGGCCCCTCGAGTCGGATCCCAGCCGCGGCCCTCCCCCGCCCCTCCTGCCTGGCGGAAGGGCCAGACGGGAATCTCTCCGGCCCTTCGCGCGGGCCGCACCGATCGGGCGATCCCGCCAGCCGCCGGTTCCGTCCCCCCCGGCCGCGTCGCAGACGGAGCGCTCGTCCGTCCGTCACGGCGATTGTTTCCGAAGGACGCGGGTCGATTCGAGTTCCGAGGCTCACGGCTCGGGGCGCGGTGCGGGGGTGGAGAGCGCCAGATATCAACCTGTTCGTGACTGTGCTCGCAGGCCGAGCCGGCGTTTGCAGCTGCCGGAGGACGCGAGCGCGCCAGGAGAGCGTGGAGATGGAGTGACCGACCCGGCGGAAACCCCGCTCTGCAGAATGGTTTTCCGCGCGGAGCACACACGGTGAGGTGCAGCCATTGCGTCGCACCGAAAACGCCGCCGTGACCGCGTTGGGCTGCTGCATGTTTTTGTGAGCCGGTGGCGCGAGGTGGGGGCCAGCCGCGCTGGACTCGCGTGGTCGGGGGATCCCGCTGTGGAGGGAGGGCCCGGTGGGGATCCAGCTGCCCGGCGGCTCCGAATGGCCATCACCGGTGTGTCCTAACCCATTTGGGGGCGGGGTCGTTCTTCCTTCTTCCTCTTCCGTTCCTGCGCACCGCCAGCGGCGCAGATTCCGGTCGTGGGGCCTCCCTTTTGTGGTGGTGGGTGGGGTGGGGGGGTGAGGTGGGTGGTGAGGAGGGACATCCCGTTCCCTCTGCACGTGTCTCAGAAACGAAGCCAATCGGAGGGAGTACTGTAGGAACGGCAAGTTTGGCCGTCGTTTGAGGGTACAAGCCCAGTGCCACTCATGCAGAGGCTGTGCACCGGCATGGGGTCGCTGTTCCTCTGTTTTCTTCTGTGTTCATTGTTTTATTCTCATTGTTCTGTTTGCTCCTGGTGTTGGCGACTGGACTAACCGCGATGGGGATGACAACAGCCACTCCTCCACGTGGCGTTTACAGTCCCTCCAGAATGGCGAACAGTGAAGTGAGCACTACCCCATCGCCTTGGTTGAATGATTGATTGATTGAAGCTCGGCCTCCTGAGTGGGACGCATTCAGGCTGGGCTGACGTATTTGGGGCTGCCTTGGGCCAGGCACTCTTGCAGGCTACTGGGGCATGCCATTGAGGGGCAGCAACTACAACAAATCCAACAACAGCGACGACAACGATTACGAAGACAGGCATTAGCACAACAATTACAACGAGAGAGGTTAACATAGAGGAGAGCAGGGAGACTCGTCATTGACCACCGCTGGGTGATTGCCAACAGTGCGATTTTTGGAAGAAGCCTGTTGGTGAATCGCGGATCGGTGGGTGCTTTGGACTGCGCTGATTCCCCAACTGGTGCGGAATCGGCAATCGCGGCAGGTGTTTCTGAAGGAAGCAAGATGATGCACCACAAAAGGGTCCACCACCTGAGCGAGGCCTCAGGGGAGGAGGCCGGCTGGGTGGAGGGCATCACAGGGCTGACAGAGGAAAGCCCAGCTACTGGGCTGCTCACAATGGACGACGTGTCCAGGAAGGACCGCGCCAGCGCATTGGTGGGTTGGTTGCCTGCTGCCATGCCTGTGCCCCACTTCACAGTTATCTTTAACGGTCTCTGCATTGATCTTGTGCTCCTATCTGCTCATGGGGATGCAGAACTGGGGAGGCAGAATGCTGGACTTGCTTGCCAATGGATTTGCACAGCAATTGTGTGTATTTACATATGTGTTGAACTGCTGCGGGCATGGAGAACTGCAAGTGTAGGCAAAAGGGGAGAAGAGAGGTGTGCTCCACCCCAGCAATGTACCGGTGGCAGGGCTGTCGGTTTATCTGATTTACATGGTGCTCATGGATCCTATCCAAAAGAAATTTTGCCGCACCTAATCCCAGACTTCTACGAGCTTCCAAAGCCACACTGCAGACCGGCCTGATGACACCCTTTGTACTGTGCGTTCTTTGCAATTCCTTTCCAGCACCCCAATGCCACATGCTCCTTTCCTTGCAGGCAGCAAGGAGCGCTGTCGTCAATGGGCTGGCCTCTCTGGGTCTGAGTGAGGACTTCCAGACCCGTCTGGAACATGCAATAGAGGTCATGTACAGCGAGGTCAGTGCACAAAGCAGTGCCTTGGGGTTGGTGGCCACTCAAGTCCTGAGCACATGTTGTGCGGTTTGGAGGTCTATGTGTCTTTTTTCACAGCATGTCACAGAGACTCACACCAACAATTGAAAGACAGTTCATTTGGATTGCATGGCAATGCATGGCAGTGCATTGCAAAATCTTCTTTGGTCTTCAACTGTTCATTTGACCTGTTTGTGTCTACGCTTGACAACTTGCTTGTGGCACAGCAACATTGTGCACGAGTGCTTGTGCATTGGCATGCCTGTATGCACAGTAGGAGACAGGCCACGGAGGTGACAATCCTTGGAAACTCATGCAGCTACCCATATGCCACAGGATTTAATTCCGCACTTATCTCGGTGACAGCTGGACAGCAGCTTATGAGCATTCCAATGGCACTATCCATGTCGATTCTTTGGTGAGTTGTGCAAGGGTGTGGATGAAATTCAGGCGCCAGCCCTAAGCACATCCTGAGCACATTCGCTTCATCTGTACTGTTGAGAATTAAATATACACTGCTTCTCATGCTGACCAGCTGGAGTATGTTGGGGAGTCATCACTGGAGGTGGGCACCCCTGGCCCTTGGGGATTCGCCATGACAGACCCAGGCAACCTTGAAGTCGCTCTGGAGCAGCTGGGGAAGGCCGCAGCTGAGAGGCAGGCAGACCTCACCATCCTCAGGAAAAGGACACTGGATGTGCCTGCCGAGCAGGAAGATGAGGGCACAGGTGTGTGTGACTAGGTTTCCATTTGCGCATTCATGCAAGTTGCATCGCTTGTTGATCGTCTTGTTGCTGGACACAGACATGTTTTTGTGGTGGAGTCGCCCAGACACCATTGGATGCCAGTACCAGACCGCTTCATGTCTCCAGCCAATGCTGGCCAATCTTCAGACATGTCCACAGTGTCGAATCTGCTCCTGCGCATGGGCCAGGCGCTGTCCATTTTGCCCTTTGCTGGGCTCTGTGGTTGATGATTTGGATGTGACATATAATTGCACAAGCCGTGTCTTGTGCTGCTCCAAGCAGAATAAGAGGACAATTGAGATCAACACGGACTGTGTGTGGACTAGTGACGGAGTTGCATGCTTTGTGTCATGGGTGCTGCGCAGTATGGGGATGGTGCACTGCAAGCATGGGTCTGACCGTCTAGCTGACTGATTTTGTAATCGTCTTTTCCGCAGTGCCCTGCCATGTAGCAGATGTCCTGGTGCGCTGCCGTGCGGGCACCCGAGCACCATCGGAGGTGCGCGTGGCGATCATTGGTAATGTTGACAGTGGAAAGTCCACCATGGTCGGTGTGCTCACCCGCCACATCCTGGACGACGGCCGCGGCCTCGCACGCTCCCGTGTGTTCAAGCACACACACGAGGAGGCCACTGGGCGGACATCCTCCATCGGGCAGCACAACCTGGTGCTGGACAGCAAGGGTGTGATACTGAACGACCCGATGTTCAAGAACACCAACTGCGCAGACTATGTGGCCAGGGCATCAAAGGTGCAGTACGGCCTGTGCACATGGCCTCTTGCTGGCGTGATTGGCAGTGTCCCAGGCAGTTTTTGTTGTTCCAGAGTGTTGCATAGCATTTGGACTAGAGGACTGTAAGAGTACTTATGCAGGCTCCTGGCCTGACAGACGAAAAATGGACCTTATGCAACTGCACGGGAACGTGTAGGGTATGCTATTCCCAAGAGAATGATCGTGTGGTCCCAGGTATGACATGAAAGTTGAGAAGTAGAAAGTAAAATGTTGGTTTGATCTGGTTGCCATGAGGATCAACTTCCAACAGTGCTGCGCATACTGCACTGTGCCACGGTTGCACACGTCAGGCATACCCAGATTGCTGTTTCGAGCTGCTGAACAACTTGCGCACCTGTGTGGCTGACATTGACCCATGGACAGGTTCTGACTCTGGTGGACCTGGCTGGCCATGAGCGCTACTTCAAGACCACAGCATACGGCCTCACTGGCCACCTGCCCGACTATGGCTGTGTGATCATCGGTGCCAATGCTGGGGTGATCGGGATGTGCAAGGAGCACCTGGGCGTGGCCCTTGCGCTCAAGGTGCCGGTGTTCTTCGTCGTCACAAAAGTCGACATCTGCCCGGAACACATTCTGAAGAACACCATGCAGGTAGTCACAACACGCGAGGCACACGGATCGAGCGATAAATTGTTTCCATTTGTCTGTTCCCTTGTGCTTTGTCTTTGAGCATACTGGTGCCACCCCCCTGGAGATTTTATTCACATGGTGTGAGCAGAAGACTGATGTGCGGATGATTGTGTGGAATTTAGTGATCACTGTGGGACTTGGCTTTGGATGGTTGGTTGTTGCAAGGCGCTGGTAGTTGCATTGAGCTTGCGAAAGCTGTCTGGTCCATGGTGTCCAATTCCCCTGTATTTTTGTTTGGCTTGGGTTTAGCAATCTATCATCAAACGTGATGCATATATTGAATGCTGCCATGCTGTGCACAGATGCTTTGGGTCCTGCAGTCCTTGCTTGAGCAAATGAATAGCAGTTGTAGCTGCTGTAATTGTGGTCATTGCTGTTTTGAATCGTTGTTTCATGCTACTTTTGTTACAGAATTGTAGGAGGGAGCATCAGCCTCTCTAGTCGAAACGCCCCACAGTCGAGTTTCGTTTTGCTTCCTTCAGCCTTTGCTCTTCCCCAACATCTTGTGTTTTGTCCTTGGCGTGTGGGACCAAAGGAATCAAAGCCAAAACCTCCACCGACTGGTGTCTGCCTGCCTTGTGTACTGTTCCATCCAGAGAAAGTGGCATGAAAGCGTTGTTCTCTTCCTGGAGAGTATGGTTTTGCAAAAGGAGCAGTTGCCGTGCTGGCACTCACATCTGTGGATTGCATCCAGAGCCTGACCACCATCCTGAGGAAGCCTGGTGTGAAGAAGAAGCCCATCATTGTGCGCAGTGAGGCCGATGTGCTGCTCTGCGCCAAGAATATCATGGCTGACAGCCTGGCGCCCATCTTTCTAACCTCAGCAGTCACTGGCGAAGGCCTGGACCTTGTGCGCATGTTCTTTAACCTGCTGCCGCAGCGACAGCACTGGGCTGACAAGTGGAACGACGCTGTGGAGTTCATCATCGACGAGACTTTTGGGGTGCCAGGCGTGGGGACTGTTGTTGCAGGTGTGGACTTCTTTTCGGCTTGTGCTAGTAAGCAAGCACCCACAGCAGAAGGTCTCCTGCACTGTGTGTGTATAAAGTGTGTTTTGAGAACCAGGATGCGGCTCATACAGTGGAGCACCCCTTATTACGCAAGCATGCAGTGGGCCATGTTGGGCTTTTCATTGCTGTAGATCCACCGTGGACAGAAGCAAGAGGTGATGTGTGTTTGTGAGCCCCAGAATGCAAGCCATTTGCTATTCTTGGTTCTTTTCCTTAGCATTGCAGAGTACGCTACATCACTTTGAAGAGTCCTTCGCGGCACCTGCTGCTCAGAACCTGGAGAATGTCATGGCATTGAAGAGTGAGCTATGTCTTGGCATCGTCCCAACAGATGCACAGACAGTACATTGTCGTATTTTGATCGATTGATCAATGCTGCTTGTGCTTATGGGATCTGTATTCCACCTCGTGTAGGTACTGTTAAGCGAGGCATAATTGGCGTCAACTCCACTCTCCTGCTTGGACCTGACATCGGAGATGCATCCTTCAAACCAACGGCCATCAAGAGCATACACTACAAGAGACTGACAGTCAGCCAGGTACCCACCATGTATGCCAGCATCCAGTGTGTCCAATGAATTGTTGGTGCAAGTTACAGACCATATTGCTGTACTCTTCTATTGGACTGGACAGTCGGTGACGATTACTGCGGAGCCGTAAAACTGCATGAACAAGACAGCAAACAGAATGAGTCCTCACTCCCAATGCAAGGCATTCCAGTTTGCAGCTGGCCCGCGGCTCTCAAGTCACATCTTCAACCCAAGGACCGAGGCTGTGGAGCTCACTTTTCCTTGTGCTGTCATCAGGTGGTTGCTGGCCAAACTGCAGCACTGGCATTGAAGAAGGTGAAGCGTGGTCAGGTTAGGAAGGGGATGGTGCTTGTGGGGATGCAGCTAAAGCCAAAGGCCACCTGGGAGTTTGACGCAGACATCGCCATTCTCACTCATTCCACCACCATTCAGCCCCGCTACCAGGTGAGCGTGCAGCTTGCAGAACAGCAGCTGTTGTGTCCCCCATCGCTGCCTGCTGGATGCACAAAATGTGCTCAGAATCAGGCTTGTAACCCTCGACAACTATTTGGTCCTAATGGGTACACGACCTGTCCTTTGTTTGCATAGTGACTCATTTGTCGATTCGTTTCAGTGTTTAGCTGCGGTTCTCTTTTACAGAGCACATAGCCTGGGTGCAGCCTGACAGCAACAGTGGACGCTGGTTTGTCCTTTGCATAGGAGTGTACTTGTTCCCTTGTACATCCTATGCACACCTTCTGGAGGTGGCCTGAAGGATTTCTTTGTTGCTGACCAAGGGCACAATTATCCTTTGTGCTGTGAGAAACCAAACTCGATCACCTCATCCAAAGATAAGGATTGGACCACAGCAATAGACCTGAATCGGTGCATCACTAACAGAAGCAGCCAACCTGCTGCAACTGTTTGCCTGTCTGGCATGCTGCCACAGCTTGCCAGGCCCACATGGTATTCTGGTTGGAATCCAGAAGGCACAACAACGAATGCTGCTCCTGAATCCTGCCTGTCGTTGGGTGCAATTGTGCCGTTTGATCCACATCGTCAGCTCAAAGGAAATAGCTGCACAGCTTGCAGTGCTCGGCTCACCTGCGGCACTTGATGCGCAACGGCAGGAGCGGCTCTGCTTCACTTGGCTGACTCGTTGCATGCTTTGCTGTGCCAGGCCGTGATCCATTGCGAGATTGTGAAGCAGTCCGCCAAGGTGGTTGCCATGGACAGGGAGCGCCTGAGGTCAGGCGACCGCGCTGTCGTGCGCTTCCGTTTCCTACAGCGGCCTGAGTACCTGACTCCAGGCTCTCGGTTCGTTTTCAGAGAGGGGCGCACCAAGGGCATAGGCGTCATCATCGGCGTGGAGGGAGACCAATGAGCACTTGCAAATGCCCCTGCGGGTGGATGTGCTGTGCCAGTGGCGTGCTTCAGCCAGGGGAGCGACAGTTCATTCCTCCGGCAGTTTACTGCTGTGGTGCACGAGTCGATCGGAATGGGCTGGCCGATCCAGATTGGTGCACCCAAACATGCTAGGAGTTGGTGGTTTGGTTCGTTTCCTTGAAGACATGCTCTCTGACCCCATGCATAAGCTGCAAGCGTTGGTTTTGGTGACATGCGTGAGACCTGTGGGTGTCATAGGCATTGGTGGCAAAGGATGTTCCCCATTCTCTGGGATTGTAGACATGTTGTATATTCGAGTTTTGTCTCCCTGTTGTCTTGTACAAGACATGTCATATGTGCTGTGGTTGATGAAACCCATTCCATAGTTTTGGCCCCGGATTGTTGACTGGGAAGTTTCGTTGCTCCCGGTGATACAGTGCTGCATCAATCTGCAAGCAGCAAATTGGATTCGGGGCTTTTGGTCACCCATTCAAAATGGTTTGGGGAGGTGCTGGACGCCCAGAGAGTGCTTCAGGGGGGCGTCTGGGCTGTGGGACTGCTGAGTTGAGATTTCAGAGTTCTATGTGCGGGCATTCAATTTCCCTTTGCTGCGTTATATTTCTCTTTTGCATAGGGGGAGGCTCACACTGCTGAGTCACATGCGGCATGTGCTCCACAGATGGATGTTGAAGGTGTATCAAAGGTTAAACTGGGGAGTAAAATGGGAAGATGGGGAGTACAATGGGAGATTGACTGGGAAAGATTTGGACGAATTAGTTCTGTCGTGATCGCACTCCCGGTGCCAGTGCCACCTGACAGGATGGCACACTGCGTGCTGTGAAGGCTGGACGCGGCATTGTAAGGCTATTGCTCATCTGTTGCCCTGATCGCGCCTGCAGTGAGTAGGTACTCTCTGAAATGCTTCCAGGCCGTCGCCGAGGCATATCGTCGCGTATGGCTCACAACGTCCATTTGCTTTTAATAGCATCCCTATCTGTCGGTGCTGTTGCGCCGGCGGCGCTATGCATGAACGGTTTTCATTTGTTGCGGTGCCACCTTACTAAGGCTGCATTTGCCAAATAGCACCGGTGCTACTGGTCCTCTGCGCATCCATAATGTTGGGTGTCATTGCTGTGCCGAATAGCATCAGGGCACCACTGCAATGTTCTGCGCAAATAGCATCGGGTGCTATTCTGGGGTGCTATTTGGCCTCGAGCGGTGTTATTCGAGGCTCAAATGGCACCACTCGAGGCCGAATAGCATCCGGGTGCTATTGCTCCTCCAGCTGTTAAATGATAGTGTTAGACGTGAAGTGCTATTCAGCTGACCTAATAACACTACTGGTGCCATAGCACCGACCGATGAAGATGCTCGCGCAGATGTGTATACCAGTGATACTTCGTACATACGATTATACGAAGTATTATGCAAGTGATATGTCATAATGCCGCTGGTCACTCATTTTGCGACGATGGGAAACGGTGGTCCATTATTTTCGCAAATGTTACAAAACCACCGCCGTTTCGCCTGAAAGGCGACGACGGGCACAGCTCTGCACACACAGTTTGTTTCAGAATGCTCGTACGTTTCCCCTCAGCCGTGTTGATGGATGGGCGCATGGGTTGATTCATTGAATCTTGGCTGACGCGACAATTGAGGCTCTGCATCAGCTGCGCATTTTTGAAACCACTCGGTTGGATTTCTTGATGCTCTGGATCATGTCGTCGACCACGCTGCGCCCCGTCTGCAGAATTCCGCTTATCTCCTCGCGAGACTCCTCCAATTGGACTTTGCACAGCTGCAGCATGACCACATTTGGGCACATCAGCGCCCACGCAAGTGAGCGAAGGGCCGTTCCAGTGCGGTGGCGATGTTTTGGGTGTAGAGTCATCGAATTCTGCATCGCATACCGAACGGAAGAGGCAGACAAGGTGGCACACCTTCCACACCCACACCAGACTGGACCAACATCGAACCTCAACGTGTGCGCTGCACCTTCTTCCAGTTGCCGTGCTGTACCTGTATTCTAAATAGCATCATGGCAACATGCTCTTGTGACAAATTGAACTGGACACCCGCACCCGCAGCTGGAGAGTGTCATGCCCGGCACATTTGCAGCATACTGATACAGGCAGTTAAGCCTGTGACCTCACATGAGCACCCGGCTCGACTTTTCTGGATTGTTGTCCTGTTGGACTGTTGGATTGCTGAATTGTGGATGCAAGGGCATCGACATTTTAATATATCGACGCAGCTATCACTTCTTGATCATTTCTTGCCATCAGATGAATGTAGACACATGGAGTACGCTTGCAATGTTGAGTGTGCCAGTGTCTGCCTGGGATTCCCGTTTCCAAAGCGTATCTTGACACACAGGATCTGCCTCTGCTTCCCATGCAGGCATCTACAAGTGTAGATGTTCAACAGGGCTTTACGCTCACACTGTTAGCTCTCTTGTGAAAACGCAGACTCTGGCAGTATGGGTTGTGGCATCAGGGTAACCAACTGCTAATTATCTGAACACGCTGAGCAGGACAGCTAAAGCACTGGTTGGATGTCCATTGATGTGGCCACGCAACAGCATCGGCCCTACCTTGAGACCCTTATTGATCTCCACGATACTCTCCTGCGACTTGACAAGTCTTGGAATCACCTTGCGGACGTCTTCCTGCAAACAATCCAGTGGGTTGCGCACAGCTGCACCTGAAACTCTCTTTGCACTGATTTGTTAAATCCTTATGGAGCATCGTGCTTGTACCAACAGCACAGTGAAGCGCATTGTTCCCAGAGTGTTCGGACCTCCCTCTCACCACTGAGCAACCACAAGGCTGAGCCAACCCCATCCCAACATTGGTGCCCAATTGTCACGTCCACTGAATCCCACATTCGTTTAGTTGCATCGCAACCGCTGGATGTTAATGGCACATTTGCACTTTCTTCGGGATGGACAACACTTTATCCTTGGAAACGGGGGGCCTTTCATACAGTAGGGTGCAGCTGTTGCCGCCCAGTACTTGAGGAACCAAGGAAATGCGAAGAAAGGATCTACCATGAGGCAAGAGGACGGCCGTCGCTCGTGCTCAGTTCATTGGTAGAGGAAAAGATGCATAGAGAACGAGCCAGTCTGTACCCAGGAGAGGTGCCTAGCCAATGAACCTGGCGCACGAGGGATCTGTGGGCGGTTGTCGAGTACCGGCGCCCCGGCTAATGGGCACTGGACCTGCCAGGGTAACAAGTCAGGAGATGTTTGAGACAGACCCTATAAGTGTTGGGGCGCACTGGAGACACAGGGTGAAGACACTGGCGAGAATTCGAGCATGGCATGGAGGCGAAACGGCTAAAGTCGAGACGCCACGGTGCTTGTTCGAAATGAATGAATCCCAGGGCCGGAGACAACATCTGGAATGCGGTGTTTGCTATTTGGAGCGGCACAAAATCAACGTTTAGAACAGCGACAACAAGCACTCTTGTGGAATTGCAGCAGCTTGCACTCCTGTTAGGTGGCACGAGGTCCACAGCTTTCCGTTGAGGTGCGTGTGGGACCTAGACTTGTTGACTGTGTTGCAGTGTTGTGGACTCATAAAGAGAACAACGGTGGACAGCACTCTCTGCGGACTCGCCACTCCGACAATCTCTTTGCTCTTGTGTGCCGCCAAGCCCTTTTCCCCAGGGCTCCTCCCAAAGCGCGTTGGGCCGAAGGTGGCACAGCGGGATCGATACCTCCCATCGCTTGCCAATCAACGGCAAATCCTCGGCAACAGCACCGCACCGCAGCAGACACTGGACACTCTTCACAGCTGGGGCGCGCGCGCTGGACGCAGACATGAAGCTTTGTTGGTGTAGCAAATCCGACACCAACGAACGACACAACAACACCGCAATGGAACAGAGCAAGAACGCGTCGCACAACCCGCCGCGCGCCCACCGTCACGTGGTGCAGCGTGTTGACCGTCTCCTTGGCAAGTTGCCGCTCCAGCAGCTCCAGCACGTTGCTGCAGGTGGCGCCTTGCCGCAGCCCGCCGGAGTCAGTCCCCAATCCGGCAAAAACGAGATCCGACGAGAGAAGATTCGCCCAGAACAGGAGTCGAACCGCCCGAAATTCGCCCGCCCTGCCGGCGAACCCGAACTGGACCTACCTGCGGTGACGATCGCCTCGCGGCCGTGGCGATCGGCGGCGCGCCTGTAGAGCCGGTACCAGGAGCTGGACTCCGTGTCGCGGCTGGACGCCATGGGCGCGTGGACCAAGGAGCCCACAGCGCGCGGGAGCAAAGTGGGGTCGGTCTGCGCAAACGCGCAGTACAAAGAATGAAGTAAAGTACGGTTGAACTGGAGTGGAGAAGAGTACAGAAAGGTGAGTGAAAAGTGAACAACACGGACTGACGTAAAGTACACGAAGTGAAGTAAAGCACAGCTGCCGCGCGGCGCGGGGGAAAAGGAACGGGGGAGGGGGTGAGGGCGGCGGGCATGCCTTTTCAGGGAGGAAAATCAGTACGGACAGAAAAGAACAATCTTGTTATCCGAAATGGGAGTCGATTGTGAAATAAAGGTCACCGTTGAAGTAAGTTTGCGTGAAGCAGCTCCAGGCAGTTTGAAAGGGCATGTCAGAGGCGAAAATGTACTCATGAGTGTGGCCCCAGATCGAGGGCGAATCGCTGGCGAAGAGCAACACGTGGTAGGGAAACATGCCCATTTCATATGGGACCCTTTGTGGGTTTGGCAAGTTGTGGAAACTGAAAGTGTGGGGTGTGTTAATCCTCCTTTACACGACATTTGACACGTGAAAAGAAGCCCCTGCACCAAACTGGCATTATCGGGCAACGGCCCCAAGCGGATGTGTTTGCCCCCACAATGTTTGTTCGAGTGCACGTCGGGTCAACCCCAAAGTGGCGCAGGCCAGCGAATGCTAAGTGACAGGTGTGGGTGTTAGCGGAGTGTGCACACCACTCATAAGGTGGATCGCATGATGTTTGAGACCAATGGTTGCCCTGTACCAATGTGGCCGATTGGGACAGCAATCGAGTGGTGGGCAGGGGCTTATCCAGCTCCCGCAATGCATAAATTCCAGCTGCCAGTTGGCCTACAAAAAACGTGTTGAGAGACCTCTTTCGTTGTTCATGCGAACTACGTTGCCATTGTGCATCGCGCCCCAGTGGCTGCGTTGGTGCTTCTTAGAAGCAAACGGGCCATGCACAGCGTTGCGCAAGGGTGCAGGTGAACATGAAGCTGATCACGCAGTATGATCTTGCTCCAGGACATGGCCATTTTAATGTGGCATGATTGAGGTGCAATGCTGATACCCCAATTGCATCGGTTTACTATGTTCAAACACAACTATTTTTGATTGAGAGTTGCTTGAATACTTTTTCCAAGTCCTTCATTGCTTTCG